TAGAGGACATTTTCATTCGACCCAACAGTTCTGTGATGTCCTGAATTATCACTGGGGTGAATGAGGACCATGTATCAGAGGTCACAGGAGGAGGGACCAGACAGAGGTATGGTGAGAGAGAGATACAGGCCCTGATGCCGGCAACTTTGTCAATAAAATAATTTAAAAAACGATTGCAATCTGCATTAAAAACTTTAACAAGTCTCTACATACTCCAAAGCACTTTGCACTTACATTCACACACTGATGGTGCTAAACTACATTGTGGCCTCGGCTGCCTAGGGCCACACTGATGTGTGGGGCTGCCATGCTTCACTGGTGCCGCCAGGCCCTCTGACCACCACCAGCAGGCAAGGTGGGTGAAGTGTCTTGCCCATGGACACAACAACTGAGGATTGAACCAGCAACCCACTGGTTAACTTACAGGACGACTCCCCTCATCACTCTGCCACAGAGTGAAGGTTTGACCAAAATGTCTACAACTCAATCAATTCATTCGTTTTATATTTGTGGTAATAATTGCTGTGGGCAAAAATGCATTTGTTCAGTAAACACTAAACTTTAACATTTTTATGATTTTTGCCCCACTTTAGTTTAAATGACGTCAACACTATAAGGGGATTGCTGCCGTCTTAAACATTTCATAGTGATTCATGTAAACACCATTTTCTAAACCAAGAACAAGTCTGTGGCAAAGCCTGTTAAAGATTAAAAATATTTTTTCTTTCGGTTTCCCCCAGTCTTACATCTACTGCTGAAAATCCTTTAATAGTTACATTTACGACAGAAAACCTTTACCTGATGATATAACTCGAGTAACAAGCACAGCACTTTGACAGTTTCCCCTATTGTTAAACAGATGATACAGACAATAGGATGTTGGGTAACAATATTAATTAAAGAAACGATGGACTTTCCATCTGAATGCACATTTAAGAGAAAAAAAGCTTGATATAAATTTAACTATCGATAAATGTGCATTTATTTTGAAAATCAGTGAAAAACAATCATTGCAAAAACACAATTTCAACAACAGCACCTTAATTAAACATATAGTCAAGTTTTAGTGTCTTTCAGACATAARGCTGCAGGTCATAAATAAGTGAAAACATTTAAGGCAATTTTTAAAGGATAATTGCTGAACATTTTCTTTAAACATCATGTTTAAAGAAAATCTAATATTTTGTTGTATTTAAAATGATTATGATTGAAATGATACAGCCTTTTTGTTGTTAATATTTAAAAGTGTCTTTTGCATCCAATAATTTAAACAATTAAGTAAACAAATCCTATCATGTCAGATCAGGGCCCGTATTTATAAAACTTCTTAGAATTACTCTTAAGAACGCTGCTAAGAGCCTGTTCAGTGTAAAATAATTCTTAGTTAAAAGCTGAGAGTAAAAGTCAGTTATCAACTGACTACTTAAGTGAAGTGTAGGAGTAATTCTTAAGTGTCAGTCTTAGAGCTGATTTTGTGACACCTGGCTGTGCTGCAAAGCTGATCCTGGATATTGTAGTTAGAAAAAACACCGGCATGAACCAATCACTGCCTCGGATTTCATGTTCAAGAATGTTGTTGGAGAAACGTCAAGATAAGACTGTGAAAATCCTAAGATATGTTCACTTTCAGCGCACTAATGTTGTCACCTTGTACTGATTGTCTGTAAATTACATAAAATGTTCTCATTTGCATCATGAGGACAGTTTTTTTAAATCAAAAACTCAGCAGCTTTAAAGTTTTTTGTCTCAGAGCCTGAGGTCATGTTGAGCAGCTCCCTCCTCCTCTTCGTCACTGTCAGACAACACCAGCTTCACACACACATGCAAACACACAACCCCGCTGCGTCATTAACAGCTTGGTCTGAGAGGAGCCCGCCCCCCCACCTCATTGTATTGTGTGATTGCTGATATAATAAATGAAAGTTCAATCCCACCGTAATTTTTATTTCTTGGGGGGTCGCAGCATGCACTCACCAGTTGAGTATATTTAATATTTTATCCAAAGGCCACACACAAATATCTGCCTTTTAGTCCAACATTATGCACAGTTTTAATTTTTTAATTATTATTATTTTACTTTTTCTTTCTTTTGTATTTTTGATTAAACCTGTTTTCCATACCTTATAACTGAGAATAACACTCAGGTTGGGAGGAGGTCAGCTGTGTTCTCTGTGTTCTCCTCTGTCTTCAGTCCATCTCAGACCCCTAGTGGCAACTCTTAGCCACTTAAGGGTCCTCTGGAGCCGTCTTAACTTTTCTTGAGAGTAAGAGTGATTCTTAGACTTAAGAATTTTGATAACTGGCACTTACACTTAAGTCTGAGAGTAGGAGCAAATCTAAGTAATTTTCAGCACTGAAGTCTAAAAACCACTGTAAGAAGTTTGATAAATACGGACCCTGACTCTTTTCTATGCAGATGATGAAACTTTGACCTTTACTTGTTGAATTTGTTTCAGAATTTCAAATTYTTTTTAATAACTTATGTTTGCAGCTGTCCTTAGAGTGCAGTAAGGATTTAGCTTTAGTAAAACATTAGCGTAAAGATAGTTTTCGTATTTATGCTCCCTCTTTCATTCACTCCTTCTTCTTCCTCCACTCTGAAATGATGTTCTCCTTGTCGGCCCTCTGGAACCACTCGCACCAGGAYCCATCGTAAAGAGGGACCCCCGGGTGTCCGAGCCGCTCGGCAGCCAGGATGACGTGACACGCGGTGACTCCAGAACCGCAGGAAGCCCAGAGAGGACGTTCCACATCCACACCYGCGTCCTTGAAGAGCTTGGCCAGGGCCTCGGTTTGGAGATGTTTTCCAGAAGAATCAAGGAACGCGGTGAACGGCATGTTGATGGCTCCGGGGAAATGTCCTGGGTCGATATCTGCGAGGGTGAGAATGTTTGAAAAGAAATGTTAAAATATGCTTAGAGTTACAGAAATCATTTGAATGCAGTGATTGCCTCAAAAGGTTGTGCAACAAAATATTTAGTTATGATACCACCCTTTGTGTCAAGGTCAGTGTCATTAATACACTGTATATGTATTTAAATCTTGTAATCTTAATTTCAATCATAAATGGGAAAAGTACCCAGAACTCAATTTGTCATTTAATTCTTTGTTTATTAGAGAGATAACAGTGTTATTAATTAGTTTACTATTATATATTTATTGACAAAATTATGTTTGATTTTCTTAAAGGTGAAAAAAAGGCTTATGTTTTTAACTACTTACATTACCAAAATAACCAATTTGATTTGCCAGCACTTGTTCTTTCTCAGRTTCAAAACGTGGAAATAGTAACAACAATATAACATGGAAACAAACTCCATCTTTACAACGAATAAAAGTTTATTACAAGTTATTAATTATAAAACTTAACTGATCAATCAAAAAGAAAAAAATAGTATAGGTCTTCTGGACGGGTTCTTCTCTAATGAAACG